TGAAAAAAATAAGAGTTCACAATTTTCATACCCATGTTTTCTGTCCAAGGCGCAAAACTTCCCTTAAAAACTTCAAAATCCAAAATTTTTTCATCAACAGCCTCAGACATTTGGAACATGGAGGGAAATTCAACAAGGTAATGGTTATCATGGATTGGAATAACTTTACCTTTCCACAACTGCCAGTTAAAAAGCCATGAAAGCTTGATTTTAATCAATTCCAGCGAAGGATTACCGTCAGATATAGTGAGGATAGCGAACACAGCAAGCACCTTTGCATTGTTGCAGATTGAGTCAGAATCTGACAGATCGACCTTCTTCTCTAGAGGTCGAAGATGAGATCTACACTGCTTGGCAATATGACCTTCTTCATGGCATTTGAAGCAGATAAAAGCTCCTTTTGGGCAAAATCTGACTGAATGACGATCATCTCCACAATTAAAGCAACGCCTAGGTTCCTTCTGATCTTTATAATCCGACGGAAAAGGATGATTGAGAAGTTTACTATCCATCTTTTTAAAATGACGCTTACGTTGAACCAAAGTCCAACCTTGATCAGGATCGGAATGAGGTTTAACAAGCCCTATTTCCTTTTGCATAGAACTGAAAGATGAAAAAATTGGGGGAGACTTTTGATTGGCGCTCTGAGGCGGTTGGATTGTGAAAAGGGAGTTGAACGGACGGGGGAAAGGGTGGTGACGTGGCTTATGCATGCTGACGGATGGTGGCGCATGGGGAAGGGAAGAAGAACGGCCTTGAACAAGTTTTGAAATGACATAACCCTTGTGGCCATCATGAATCACCTGACGACGAGGAGAAGAACCGAGAATACCCTGCTGAGATGAAGAAATTACCTGAATGCCTTTGGAATTCCCAAATGAAGCTGGTTTTCTGATCTCGCCGCCACCAAAAATGTTTTCGCCGCCGCCTCTCTTCGCTCCAAACTCCATCTCAAAAAAAATGCCCTACATGCAACATGCAAATAATATTGAACATATGGAACATATGGAAACTAACCTTTGACCAAAACCAACCGGACAACATGCAAATAGGTGATCCTTGCATGACTACGTTGGATCTCTGCTCTACACTTTTTTTTTTGGTTTGTAATTGACAAACTTTCCATTTATATGGATTGACTCCATAAAAATTATGACTGTTTAATAAATAAATGTATTTGTCTATTAACTGCATACATACATTGTACGTGTCCCGTGATTCGTGATTGCACAACAACGCACCACAATTTACTTTTTAAATTTGTCGCGCGCTAATCATTGCGATGGACTAAGTCTCTCTTCATTAAACTTGATGGAGCTCTTCAAGTCCTAGTTTCTCCTCATTGTTTCACACATAATCTTGTTGCTCAAAAGATGAAGAGTTGTTGCACGACAAAGCCTATATAAAAAAAAACATTTATATGAATGCTTAGCAATAACAACCACTTTATTCCTTCAAGATTTTCTCTAGGATACGTGTACTTTTATTATCTAATTTCATTTAATTATAATTAGATATAGGCATGTTTTCTTGTCTTTTTTTCAAGCGTCTCGTCTCTTTAAGCTTGGTCTCGTTTCTTAATGGGCCAGCGCAAGGTTGTGCTTTATGTTTATCACGTTATTTAAATGGTCACCTAATTGTAGTTTTTGTCGTGGGTTGGTGTTTGTTTAAACCCATCTCATGATGTTTCCTTCCGTCCCACCTAGAGGCAATAATGATTTTAAGTTTACTGGAAAATGATTGAAATAAACTACTCTTTCAAGCTAAGATTGGAATAAGTACAAAGTTTGCACACTTGAAAAGGCTTGGGCACTACATTCGTTTAAATAATTTGCAATCTAATGTAGATCCTAAATGTTTGGAACTATCATCTCACTTGTTAACTTCACACTTCCTATGCTATGATCAAAGGCATCATTGTCTATTATTGTACACAAATGATCTTATGTTTCAGTAAGACTTGTGTTTGTTAGCTTACATTCCGTATTTATCTTGCGCGAGAGAGGCTCAATGACAATAGGTATGCATAAGAAAATTGAAATCTCACCACTATTTTAAAAGATAACTACTATTTCTTGGGCACGCTATGCGTCAATACATAATTCAACCTTTAATTTAAAAAACGATGAGAAGTTGAAGGAATGGATGAGTAAGTGGGGTATTAAAGATAGATAGTAGTGGTTGATAGGGACAGATACAGAGAACATGAGACGAATGATGTTAAAATGATAGCCTTATAAGTTTTCTAAGTTTACCGTTTTCACGATCCTTAAACTATGCGTAAATTATGAATATATTTTATAGAATTATTTAAATTCGTAACTCATAGGGATAGAACAGCAAAAAAGGACTTTTTTTAAAAAAATAATAGTAATATTTGAAAGATAATATTCTTAAAGTTTTAAAAGTATCTTACTCAAAGAAAGGAAAAGGACATTTGTGGCTTTCCCCCCTAAATGGGCTAAACCACGACTGTAATAAACTACATACTGGCCCCTTGGCCACAATGACTCTTCCTTCATTTCGCTTCCACAACTCCCCAAGCAAAAGGTGCTCAGATCAAAGATTGGAAAGTGCCATTTGCTAAGAATAGATGGGGATATTTGTTATTGGCATAATTGTCTCTCTCAATAACATCTTTTTTCTAGGATTGAAGTGTATACATAAGAAAAGGAAATAATTAATCCCTCTATACAACAATAAATTTGAGATAGATTAAAGTGTAACTAGAACCTCAAATTCCCGCTCATGAAGTTGGATCCGGATTCTCTCCTAATGAGAGGGTTCCTAATATCTCCTAACGAGATATTGGCCTTTGATTTATCAATCAAAGGCTAAGATCTCCTCATGCACAAAAGTAGGGGGAGATAAGGATAAGATCTTGGTCTTTGATTGATAAATCAAAGGCCAAGATCTTCGAGTTAAAGCTAAGTGCGGTTGATATGAGAATCATGACTTATGTACCTATTTTCTGAAACGAATATAGATCTTATCAGAGTACCCCATTCGTGAGAAGGAGCGTTTCTACGCTGTACAAAAGAAAGAACATGAATACAGTTTTGAGGTTTTAACTGCTTATAGCCTGACCCAGCTTTTTGCTTTGCTACACATGATGACGTGATAAGATTTGTATTTCTTTTGATACATGCATGGTTGTTATGGATTATTTATTTATTTATTATAAATAACAAATTTGCGTCTAGGCTAGTTTGTGATGGGTGCAAAATTGTCTATCCCAAGGGTTTACATGTGTTTGGGCTAAACCCTAATTGCTAAGCTCTATACCATAGTCTATAGATTAACTTAATGGATTGCGAGCCCCAAGCAAGCCCAAGTACAACAAAACAGCATCAGTTCAAAAAAAAAAGTACAACAAAACAGCTCAAAGCACATATTTTTGATAGATATGTATATATGTGTATGTGGATCCAAAAAGTTCATCACAAATCTCTACAAGCACAATGTATAAATTTATTATTAAAATATCTCTCTCCTCCACGCCTATAAAATCAACTTTTGTACTATATCAACTTTTGAGACCATGTCATTTTAAATCGCTATCCAATTGATTCTCTCAATTATAACACACAATTTTGGCCCACAGACCACAATGCACTTTATTTAGAAGCGCAGCATGTTTGAAGGATTTCAAGATTGATGAAATTTTCAGAATTAAAGTAATTTATACGTTATATAATATTTGGAGATAAATCAATAATTCATAATCTTAAAGCTAAAATTCTACAATAAGGAAAGATATTCACATTCTTTCTCTATAGCATATCGTCCCGTGCAATCAATTAATAATGCATACATGTGTAACAGATATATTAATGTGCTAAAGAAATTATCAAACCGAGTTCTCATTAGAAACTTAAAATTTATCCTAACAAGGTTGATCCATTCGATCATGAGGATCTAATTAATAGATTAATTATTACAAGAGGTACACAATAATTTATTTTAAATAAGTATCACCAACGTTTATCCTTTATTTTTTTGCATCAAATATGATTTTTAATATTCTTTATTCTTCGCATTTCTCCTTTTTTTCTTTCTTTATTAGTTACTTTTTTGGGTATTACTTTATTATTAGTTATTAGTTTTTTAATGGTGGCAACTGTTGGCGGCTTGGTAATTTAAGTTTTCAAATTACAGAACCTTCCATCATCATCGTGCTTCCAAAAGTCTTTCCTCTATTTTTTTCCCCCTTTTTTGGCTTTTAGTGAATAAAGAATATAAATGTACTTCTTGTATCGTAAATTTAAATTCAAGAGGAAAAGTTCTATGAATAGCTGAATAATACGCAAGTAGGCTCGGGCCAAAAGAGGCTTAGGTGGTCCATTCTCTTGAGAATGTGGTCCAGTCTATGTTTGTGAACCTCCCATCTTCTTTCTTTTGAAAACGGAAGCATGAGCCTCAAGATTTATATTTAAAACAAAAGGAGGGAAAAAAAGAAAAAGAAAAAAAAAAGAAGAAAAACAAGAAGAAGTGGCATCTTATTCTACATTCAATTGTGTATTGAAGAAGCAAATCCTTATGCTGCCTGGTCATTGTTCAACTACGTGGTAGGTATAACAACAATAGGAATTAGATTTCTTCCAGAAAATATTATTTCCACATTTATCACATGGGTTGAAAAAAACATGCTTAAAAATGGATATACGCGTGAATAAATAATAAATGATATCTAAGAAAAGCCAAAAAGGAAAAAGGGTCTAGTTACGTGAGTGGACATCATAAGCAGATGTGTAGCCTTCACATACTATTTGTAAAGAGTTTTGGAATTTTTTTATATTGTTTTAAATCCATTTCGTTTTGAAAAGAAAAACCAGGGCTCACTCATCTAACCATATAATATTTAATATTATTCCTATACATCAAAGAGTTAAAAGCTTGGCTTGTTTTTGAAGTTTAGTATCGACAAAGGACAAAACTAGTAGGAACAATACGTGACATTAACTTTAAAAATCAATGCTGACAGCCATACAAACACTGTATGATCTTCTGTAGGGGCCCTTCGTATGTATTCCTTCTGTTCTCACTGTGCCTGCATGGGCTACATCAAAACGGGCTTACCTTGTCCAGAGATACAAAGTTGGGCCACAATAAAATGCACGTGAAAGCCCACCTTCAATCAGAAACCAGACACCGTATAGACACAAACAAGTACATAACTTGATACACAAAACAGTATATTCAAATGCTGATTACACAATGCAAACAAGTAAATGCACAATCACAAGGAGCTCATACTTCCAAGAAACTTAGATGCTGCTCTCATGCCGCTAAGTATCGCGCCTTCAACGTTGGGGCTCGCACAAAAATCGCCACAAATCGCTAACTTCTTCGTCTCGTCCCACAAGCAATTATCGTCTCCGCCTATAGCTGCAGCAACAGGAAAAGCACTTCCCCTGCATTTTTTTTTTCATAAAAAAACAAAACAAAATGATAAATAATTTAACAAGGTTAAGGTTGCTTCAAGGTTTAGAATATACATAATATGCCGCAGGAATTTTGCTAACCAAAATGATAGCATGGATGAGTTTTCTATGTGATGTAACACCTGTTCCACTACTTCCACTTAATGCATGTTGATCCCGTAAGAAAATGTGTTCAAGTAGGAATTAAAGATAATAACAAGTAGTACATAATTCAATGATCTGATCAGATAATAAACGAAATATTAGTATGGTTCAAGTGTAAATTGCATGATCCACCTGAATAGACAATGAAATTGCACATATGTTTTTATTAAGAGTAATTGCAGATAACCCCCTAGTCTATAACTTAATATTTCTATTAGCTATCGTCGCCCCTGAATTGATATTGTGAGAAGGATAAATTGCAGATAATCCTTCTTTCCTGCAAAAACTGAGGGGGTGATAAATGATAATAAATGAGTTGAGGGGTGATAAGTGCAAATAAAGGTATAGATGAGGGGGATTGTAGAATTTACGCTCATAAAATTTAACATTGAGCCCCCCTCCAGTCAAGTGTAACATAAAATGGCAAAAGACCGGGAGATAATGACATAACATCCTATTCCTAAAAGCAAATATTACGCACATGGAGGTTTCCTGCCCATAAGTCATTCCTGAATCAAGATATTGACATTCTGGAAAAATATCATTCCTACTGCAGATAGTTTCTGAAGGAGCACGTGCTCTGTTGTGGGCTTGGGAGACAGAAGTTTATTTCTGGCTTTGCGCAAGGGTGAATGAGTTTACTTTAGCCTCTTCTTATCCTGAGCCAGTGAGCCTTTTAATCTAGCATCCTCTCCTTATGCAGCTGTGCATTCTCAGGAAGTTTATGCAGTTGAAAGATGGAGATGGTATATTCAGTTTTCTAGACAACACACAGGGCCTTTGGTTTTTCAATACTTAGAGCTTATTAGTTTACTCCAACAGATGAATATTGATGCTGCTATGATGATACGTATGGAGACGGGAGAAATCTGGCAAGTTTTCTGCCAGGGCATATTATAACTTTCTTATTGATGGTGGTCTCATATTTCAGTGGAAAGATATAAGGAATATTGTTGCTCCATTGAAGGTGAAGGCATTGATATGGCTATCTTTTCTTGGTAAACTGAGTACAAAGGATATTTTGTTGAAGAAGGGAGGTCAGGTGGATCCAATTTGTGTCCTGTGTGGTAATGATAGTGAATCCCACATGCATTTAATTCTGAAATGTTATTTTGTTCAATCCTTACCGGCATTCTTTGTGTTACGAATTTCATATAAGCCTTCCTCAGTCTCATCTGTGTGATCCGATTTGCCTATGGGTGAACTAGAGACCAAATGCATTATAGGGATAGAGAGGAGGGGGGAAAAAAGAAAGAAGGCATGTGATGCTCATTTTTGTGCTCTTTTTTTTTTCTTCCAGGTATTGACAATGATCCTTCTGACATTGCTAGCCAATGCTCATGTTTTTTGTTATAAATATCTCGAAAATGCTCATTTTTTGTGCTCTTATTTGGTGTATTTGGGAAGAAAGGAATGCTGGGATCTTTTTGCACCAATGTAAACATTCTCTAGAGGTGTGGGGAAGAGTTACTTATTTTCCTTCCTTTCAGCTAGGATGTTCTGCTTCAATGCATGCGCGATATATTGACGCCAGTTCTTCTTCAGCTGTGCCATGGGGAGGGAGACTTTTCATGGTGGCTCCTGCGTCTGTTCAGAGAACAGGATATGGTGGTGGGACTGCTAGGTCAATCGTGATCGAATGAAGCATGAGAGATTTCCAGCATCACTTTATTTTGTGAGCTTAAAGATGTTTTCTGTATTTCTTTTGTGTGATGTCTGATATACTGTGAGAGGGAGCTTTATATTGTGAATGTACATATAATACACGGCTTATAGATTACACCTTTGTTGGTTGGGGTGTGATCTTTATATGCAACAACCATTTAGGGGTAATGGTAATGTATGGGGTTTCATTTTGGAACCCATGACTTCTAACTTAGAGCAGAACAAAGAAATCTAACATAAGTATAGCAGGGGAGAATAAACTACCATCTGTGAGCTTTCATAAAGAATGGCTGAGGAATATTTAGTCCAGAAGCCAGAAATTCCTGGAACAATTCTTGAGCCACCTTTGCCAATGTCTCATTTGAAAGTTTTCGAAGCCCAGTTCTTGCTATCACACTAGCAGCATATTCTGCTGTTGAGTGCAGCACCCAACACTCACTGAACATAAAACAAGGATAAATATTTGATATTCATGACAAAAAAGAAATACTTTCTTATGAAAAAAAACAAAACAAAAACCAAACGGGACAGTCAACGGTTAATGAGATGCACTGCCTACCTATTAGGTGGAATATGATTGCGGCCTGGCTTACTACTGTCACAGAAAGCCCAGCTTAAAACCTCTGAGCTCTTGAAAGAAAATCCTTTCACAGGTATCTAAAATATAAGGGGGCCCAAAAAAAAAAAGATAGAGAGAGAAAATATCACTCAGAATTGAATCTGATATGGAACAAAATAAGCACAATCTTATCTATATACAGCATAAGTGGAAAGTGTAAAGAATACAAAGCAACTTCAAGGGAGGCAAACATTGAAAAGCTAAGATATAGAACAAGCAACTAATGAAGAAACAGAACTCCCCTGAATTGCAAAGAGTATTCTTAAACATGAACGTGTTTACTTTTTTCAGCACACAAACTTTAATTAGCAATAGATTGTAAAAATGCCAGTAATGAGAAAACAGTAACAGTATGCAGCAAACCTAAACTTCTATAACCAGTACATCGTAAAAATACCAAAAATAATAAATTGTATCTCACGGGGAGAGCTACACCGTGAAGGAGTAATAAGCAATTAAATATTACAATCGGAATCTCGATCACACATCATCCATCATCTGAGAAGTCACTGATAATGAGATTTTCATATAGTGTACATTTCATATAACCAAGCAAATTATGTGATATGAAATCCATCTAACTAGCTATACCATAATTCAACTAAAAGTATGTTCACTTGATGACTAAATAACAGCATGTGCAGAACACTAACAACAGGCACCTCACTTGCCATTCAAATAACAACAAAACTATATAGAAGAGACAGTATACAAATCGACAATCGACAAGCACCAAAATTTCTTACCGATGATAAAGGTTCTGAAAAGGCCAGCATTACAACAAAGCATGAACGAACAGGGATATCCTGCATCATTACTGCCAATTCTGGGGATAATGAAATATCTGGAATGCCAACATCAAGTAAAATAAATTACGATGCTCAATAAAGGTTTTTTCGATACTAGTCCCTTAAATCTTCCATATTTTGAAACTATTCCCTCAAATCACTGAAATTACTGATAAGTCCCTCAATTCTTAAGTTATTCGAAATTGCCTCTCAAATCATTGAAATTGCTATTACAACGCCAATTCATAAGTTATTTTGAAATTCCTCTAATCAAGAGCAGAAGTAGCAATTAGAGGGAAATTAATCTCTCAAATCATCGAAATTTGTATTAGATCCCATTTGCATAAGTAGTTTCAAATTAATCTATTTAATTGCTAATTCTCCCATTGATTTGAGGGACTAATTTCAAAATAACTTAAGAACTGAGGGACCTAATAGCAATTTCAATCTCAGTGACTAATTTCAAAATATGTAAGATCTAATGGACTAATATTGAAAAACCCCATAAATAAAAAATAACATCATAATCAATGTTCAAATGGTCTTCAGCACCATGATACAGAAAACAGAAAAGGAAACAACAGAACCACGTTAATAAATGGATAAAGGAAGCAGTACATAAAAATACGCTTTTCTCTTCAATTTTATTTTGTACAGTAGTACTATAGTAGTATTGCATATACTCTTTCCTCTAATCTTGATGTATAAATAAAGATTTTCATTATTCTCGTCTCTTCAGAGACTTCATGTCAAACTGGAAGAATTTCCTTAACGTCCTCCCCAAAGTGACAAACTCCTGGTTTCAATCAAGTAGATAAGTAGAAATAAGACAAGAACCGGGACTATATGGTAAGTAGCCTACATATACTCCATTCCTCCAGAATCTGATAGCCTAAGTTTTTTGTCAAAGTGGTCCCAAACTAAGTCTGAGTACTGATCTTCTAGAGGTCCTGGGTCCAAACCTCGTCCAAAGCAATTTATATTAGCCTATTTGTTCTCCCTTTTCAGCATCTGTCATCTTCCCAACGACATGACACTTATGCATTTTTATTAGCTTCCTAGATGCCCATTAAACTAAGCTTTTAGGTTATTTTAACAAACATACAACAGAGAAAATAATAGGAAACAAACCAAGAGGTGGTAGTCTTCCCGTTAACCCTGTAAATCTTGGTGATGATATGTTCTTGTCTGTTGCCACAATACCATCAAACTGACCCAAAACTTGTCCATCCAAACCACTCAACAACCATAAACCCCGGTCCTGCAGCATATCCACTTTAGCAACAATTGTCCCAAATTTAGCTTCCACTCCTAAAAGAGAGGAAAGATGCAAGGTTGATATCAAATGCTGATAAACCAACAAGATTTAAAGAAATTAGATTCCAGACTCACCAGGTTCATAGCACAGAGCTTTACATATTGCATTCATGCCAGGAACACCCACATATTTTTTACTTGTGCCTTCCTGAAATTATCAATTAAACTGATTTATGTTACAATGTAACAATAGGAGTTGCTTACATGCATGCTTAGAGAAAAAAACATAATTATGCTTCCAGGTTGCATTATGAACCTATAGTGACAAGTCACTGCAATTTGTAATTAAAGTCAACAACCTGAGAGCAAAAATTTTGTAGACAAACTACCTGTGAAGATAATTTGCTTGCAATCATGTTCCACTTGGCAATGAAATTCAATTGTTGACAACAAAGTTAAATTTTACCCATGGTTTCACAGTACAAAAAGAGAATGGGAGAATATGATATACGCTAGAATTAAAAAAACTCATTCTCTTGGTTCCAACAATTTTCTTTGAAATAAAACATTGTTTCCAAAATAAAATTGTTTTCCATATAATAGCAAGCATACATCAGTATCTCACTAAGCTATGAATGCAATAATTAAACCAAGGATGTTTCTACATTTGATTTCTTACAATTTCATGTCACTTTATTCGATCAAAAGAAGTCACTTTATATAGTAAATTGACAAATTTGACGCAAATGTGGAGGGTCCTATCAGAAGGTCAGCTGTTATCAGCTAGTGTGTTGTGCATGGTTTTTTGGCATGTAATTTTTTGCCACGTAATTTTTTGCCACGTAATTTTTTGCCACAAATTGGCATCAAACCCCAAACAGTTTGTGTTGATGACCATCAATTCTAGAAATTTAGGAAATTCATTTTATAGATCTTCCTTAACTGACTCCTGTTCCGTAGGAAATGCCAGTTTGATGGGGAAGGATGACGACGATGACTTAGTGACTTACTCACCTTTTCACATGTACACATGCATGATCATATACTAATTTATGAAGTTATATCATGCTACCACAAGAGTTGTGTTAAACTTTTTGAAGTAGGCGTATAGGATTCATGGATTTTCCTAATAGACAAGACAATTTACATCATTAATATCTAAAAAATGGCTAATATCATGTATATTTAGTGGTCATCATGTTGCAACAGATCTATTTTCCTTTCCACAACAAATCATTGTAAGAGGCTGTTGTGTTTAATCATCATGTCCAACATCCTCCTTGATTTCAGGCAATTGTCCAAAAATACATGCTACAAAATGCAAAGAATAGTTTTCACATGTTTTTTAAAAATCCCTGGTAAGATACTAAAATCAACGACACACAAGTGAAGTATCCGTATAAAAAAACACTCTATCCTGATAACTAACAATGAAGACTTGCCATTTATCTCGTTATCGTGTACCTCCTATAGTACATTTTTTCTGTCTCATAATGCATCCCTTATAACTAGCTTAATTTCATCAACATCGAGAACAAATTTCATGATACTAGTTATTCTCACATATATGCATATTCATTCAATGAAATCACGTACAACTCAAAAAATGTAATCAGCAAAAAATTCGTAAAAACCCCAAGTAAATAGAAATCAAAGCCACACCAATTTGGAACAAGAGATTCAAACTCTAACCTTTTTGAAATCAAGAAACTTTGCAGTTGATCGATCGAAACACCCAAACTTTTCCTTCCACTCAGCAACCAGTCCTCGAGATTCCCATGAGCTGACGACACTCATCACCTCATCACTATGTTCCACACTGAAATAGGGAGCTCCATGATCGAATAAGAGCTCCTTCCCATCTTCAGTGGTTTCTCTAGGGGTTCAAACATAAAAACCTTGTTGGGATTCTCTCCAAATCTCATAAATGCAGAGTGCTTGAGGTGTTGACTAGGTAGATTGAAAGACTAGTCAACATTGGAGAATGTGAAGGATAGAAGTTTGAAGGGTGCATACTTTAGATTGCTCTCGGAAATTGCAAGAGTATTAATTGGTCATTGAAAATAGTTAAGGAGAAAGGCTATGAAAAGGGTGTGTGTTATTGTTGAGAAAACCATCCTCTAGATGAGAAAGAGGATCCTCTTAGAACTCTTGGGTGATCAGTGTTCTTGGGTTCTTTGAGTGACATGGTGTGATGATGGCCTCTTAGAGCTCTTGAGTGATTGGTGTTCTTGGGTTCCTTGAGAGATATGAGATGTGCGAGGGGTTTCAAGTTTGTCCGTGCAAAACTTATATCATTGGTATTGATTGTATCGGTTCGTATCATAGTGGATGTAGGCATGTTTGGCCAAACTACGTAAAAAACCCTTTGTGCTGTGATCGTGTTTGTGCTCGTTATGCATGATGCTTGTTTGTGTGCTCGATAATCCCCAACAGTGGCATCAGAGCTAAGGTTGTCAAGAGTATGATGGACCATACTATAGAGAGGAGTTCGTCAAGAATGGTGGAAGGGTCATCTGTAAAGCCGTTGCACAAAGTTGAAGGTCAAAAATATTGTTGAAAGAAGTGATTGTAATCTCGGGAGTGATAGAATCTCTTGGATGCAAATTTGTGTGTGTGATGGCCCTAAGGAGATGGCAAACAAGGTAGTGAAAGATCCAAGGTGTGCAGCGGTGGGCGGAAATGCATGCAAGGCAGAGAATGGTGAGTGGGGCAGTGGATGACGATGCAACGATGGCTCTCATTGAAGAGAGAGCATGTGCAATGATCGAAAGATGTGACAAAGACTAACTAGCTGCGGATGGTGGAGGTAAGCCCTGAAGGCGTCAACGATGATTGTTAACAGAAGCAATCGCTAGGTCTGCTCACTGGCACTTACAGAGGAGCGGCAATTGATAAAGACATGATAACTGACAGCGGTGCGTGATCAATGTTGGTGGCAGCCGATCACATTGAGGTGTTGAAGATTTGGTTTAAGGGAGGAATTGTTAGGATTCTCTCCAAATCTCATAAATGCGGAGTGCTTGAGGTGTTGACTAGAAGATTCAATGACTGGTCAATATTGGAGAATGCAAAGGATGGAAGTTTGAAGGGTGCATGTATGAGAAGCTTGAAGATTGCACTTGGAAATTGCAAGATTATTAATTGTTTGTTGAAAATAATAAAGGAGAAATACTATAAAAAGGATGTGTTATTGTTGAGAAAGTTATCCTCCAGATGAGAGGGATGATCATCTTAGAACTCTTGAGTGATCGTTGTTCTTAGGTTCTTTGGGTGACGTGGTGTGAGTGATCGATGCTCTCAGCTTCCTTAAGATGTAAGATGTGCAAGGGTTTTAAGTTCTGCACGAAGTTTGCCCGTGTAGAACTTTTATCATTTGTGTTGATTGTATTGGTTCGTGAAGATAGTGGATTTTCCTATTGAGGGAACCGTGGATGTAGGCATGTTTGGTTGAACCACATGAAAAACTATTTGTGCTGTGATCGTGATCGCGCTCCTTATGCACGATGCTTGTTTGTGTGCTCCATAATCCCCAAAAAATTTAAATTAAAATTTGAAATAAATAAAGGGTTATTTGCACTTGGATGCTCTAAAGTTTACCTCGCTGCTAACTTTAATACCCAAATCTCTTCTTTTTGCCCAAAAAATACCCCAAGATTCAACAAAGTTTAACTTTGATACCCCATACTTTACACATTTAAATTTCGTTAAAGTTTGGTGTATCAAAGTTAATTTTTGGTTAAAGCTGGGGTACCAAAGCTAAATCTTGTTGAAACTTGGGGTATTTTTTCGAGCAAAAAAAAATCTGAGTATCAAGGTTATTTTTTTGGGCAAAAAAAAACTTGAGGATATCAAAGTTAAAAATGGAGTGAATTTTAGGGTAGCTAAGTGCAAACAATAATAAAGTTTGAGGGTAAAATAGCAACCTTCTTTGAGACATTCGCCCTCCGGGTCCTCTCCCAGATTCAAACACAGTCACCGAAACCCCTCCTCGGGCAAGAATTGAAGCGCATACTGCTCCTGAAACTGCACATAATTTTGCCAAAAAATGGAAAATATCAAAAAAAGGGGAAATATTTCCATTTTTGTCCCTTCCAATAAAAGAAAGCCTAGAAAAATCCTTGCGCTTACTTCCACTGCCGATAACGGCGACGCTCGAAGGGTTTCTGATCATGGCGACGGCGGGGGGAAGGGAAGAGATCCTGTGAACGAGGAGATGCCGCCATTTGTCTTTGAGAGTGGTGAGATTTTGACACTGTTACCAGGCGGTGACGTTACCGCCTTTACCGGTGCCGGGTGGTGTTAATGACGATCTGGGTTTTGTTCCATATTAGTGCCTTTCATCTTTATTATTTTGAAATTCGTCCCTCAAATCATCAAAATTGCTTTGTTATAAATAGGGGTGCAAACGGTTTGCACATGGCCTACAAATAGGGGTGCTAAACTGTATCCGTATCCGAGAAAATATCTGTAACCGTATCCGTTAGGATACGAATATGGTTACTCAAATCTATAACCGATAGGATTTGATTTTGTAATGAAATATCTGTATCCGTATCCGTATCCGAAATATCCGAATACATATTAGTCATACTCTTACGGTAGTTTCGATTCTTAGATTATGGATTTGCGGTTAATTTTGATGATCAAGATGTCTAGTCTTAACTTTTCAATTATAATGGACATATTAACAAACACTTTTGTATCACATGAACTATGTTTTTCTCAATACTATCTAGTTTTCTCATATCTGTTTTGTATCTGCATGCATATCCGCTTATATATCCGCATGCATATTCGTATCTGTATCCGTATCCGATTTTAGCGGATATGGTTATAAATTTTTCTTACCGAGGTATATCCGTATTCGTATTCGTATCCTATATGGGTAAGCGAATATGGATATGATAAGCATTATATCCGAGCTGTATCCGGACCGAATGCACCCCTACCCACAAATGATTCTCACGGAACCATTATCCTCTTAGAATTATAGATATACATGTGATTACAAAATTGATTTAAGAAAACACATAATACAAAATTGATTTAAGAAAACATATAACTTTAAGAACTATAAATGTATGATTAAAATATATTTATATATTTTGGATATGGATTCAGACATTCCATTGCATATCCACACTCGTAATCATAGATGTTTAGTAATCAATTTGTGTACTGACGAATACGTATACGTATATATATTTTCTTGCACTCCTACTCTCAAAACTTTGAAATTGTTATTAGGTAACCGCATTCCTTTAAATTTTTTCATATTAATACCTCAAAGGACAAGGGATCGACCATCAATTTCAATAATTCGAGGCAAAATATTAAAGGTTTATGTGGATTTTCGGCAAAAAATTCCTACTCAATCCATTTCTTGAACGGTCCCCAAGCCTTAAAATATCTTCTTCCCCCTAAACCCTTTGACCTGAACTTGCCCGTACTTACTCCCTTTTCTAGGGTTTATCTCCTCCCCCAAAAGGTAGGGTTTCATTACAAATACTATGAACGTCTTGTTCAAGAGATCGGCCTCGATCGCCACCTCGGCGTCGAGGCAAACCCTAGCTGCTCTCCTGCGGCTGACCCCCTCCGAATCTTTCACGTCATCCTCAACCTCGAGGTCTGGTATTGCCCAATTGAATGGATCCACTGTCTTTGAGATTCGAAGCAGAGAGATCCATTTCGCTACCAAAAGCTTGGAGTTTAGGGCCTCTGATGTTGTCCGAGCCGGGTTTGCGATGGAAGATGGCTTCTTTGATGAGAAGGAGAAGGGTTCGAGCTCGAAGAAAGGAGGAGACGAGGGTCTTGAGATCGCTAAATTGGGGATTAATGACAAAATAGTCAGGGATCTCGCGAACCGGGGAATAACTAAGCTATTCCCTATTCAGGTTATGCTTATTTCCAGTGGACTATTGAATTGTTGAAGGGTTTTTTTTGTGGGATTTTGATTCATTTATTTTGTTAATCAATATCGAATGAACTGCTTGTTTGGACAAGGAATGAACTATTTGGTTGTGTTATTAACAGCTGCAATGCAACAATTTAACACCGTCTTTTCCAAAATGATATTGATTTTGTTTGATGTTTTAGAATGAAATGATAAGTTGAAGGTTATATAAAACTGGAGGAATTGATTTTGCCTTGCTTAATATTGATAAGAGTGTGGTAAATTGATTTTTTGAAGGATTTGTGGTTCTGGGTTAGGAGTACTATGGATATAGCTTATTATTTGGGGTACATTGCATATAATCCCCCTCGTCTTTACCTTCCTTCAGTAGCATTTCTCACTCCTTAACTATTTTACTGACATTTGTCACCTCTGAATATGTAATTGATGTTTGGCTTTTGCTTATTGTCTAGAAAGCTGTTCTCGAGCCAGCAATGCAGGGACGTGATATGATTGGTCGAGCAAAAACAGGGACAGGGAAAACTCTTGCTTTTGGAATCCCCATTATTGATAAAATCCTACAACACCAAAAGAAACATGGGCAAGTTTATTATTGTGGTCTCTGATGCATTCATTTGATTTTTGAAGTTTGATGGTAGAATCAACGATTTGTTTCTCTTATTATTTATTCAAATTTGCAGTCGTGGAAGGTTCCCTTTGGCCTTAGTCTTGGCACCAACTAGAGAACTAGCTAAGCAAGTTGAGAAAGAATTTGCAGAATCTGGGCGATCTGCCGAATTGGATACTCTCTGTGTCTATGGTGGCGTGCCCATCCGTTCACAAATGAGAACTCTTGATTATGGGGTTGATGTGGTAGTTGGGACCCCTGGGCGTATTATTGATTTGATAAAGAGAGGTGCCTTAAATTTGAGGGAAGTTCAGTTTGTTGTCCTTGATGAAGCTGATCAAATGCTTGCTGTGGGTTTTGAGGAAGACGTAGAGAACATTTTAGATAACCTACCCCCAAAACGTCAGAGTATGATGTTCTCGGCCACGATGCCAAGTTGGATAAAAAAACTTACCCAGAAATACCTAAAAGATCCAGTTACTATAGATCTTGTGAGTGCTATTTTCTGTCATTATTGTTCTTATGTCTGATGCTTCTATTGGTTGGCTATGGTGAGTTGTATTGCAATTTGTTATTGTTTACAAACTTCTAATAGTTTGCAAAGTATTCCAACTTTCCCACTATGATTACACACAACAAAATATGTCTATGATTGTTAGTATATGTTGCTAGGATCCTTTTGCAAATTTAATGTGCTTACTGCAGTACATCAATCTCTTATATTCTATCATTTTGGACTGTTTTTATATGGATATATGCCACTTTTTGTGCAGAATTTTTCGAGTTGTTTGTATTGTCAATTTTTCACGTTCAAGTTTTAATATAGTTTTTATTTTGTTCCGTTCTTTATTCTAATTTTTCACGAAGAAGGTCCAATATTTTCCTTTTTGGGTAACCTTGTGCGCTTCATTCAATAGGATTCTACAGTTAAGATTCATTCTTCATCTTGTTCGTATGCTCCTATGTTATCTCAAGATTTTATTTCATTTTTCCTAATATTTTCTTGGAAAAGATGACCAAATCCCCTTAAAGTATCTGGTGAAATCTCAACTTCCTCCCTTTAGTATCAGTTTGCCTATTTTCCCCCTTAAACATGTGCATGTGCCCAATATGGTCATTTTTCCTAGCCTAGGGTCAAATATTTAGCAGAGCGATGACGTAACAATATTTTTTGCATTGTTTAATTTTCTGCAATTCAAAAAAAAAAAAATTCAATTCCAGGGAAGGGAAAAAGGCATTGTTTAATTTTCTGCAATCCAAAAAATATATTTTTCAATCCCAGGGAAGGGGAAAAGGGTAAAAAGTTTAGGAGGAAAGTAGTTGGGAAATTTTTTTAGGTTGGGGGAAAGGAGAGAAATTGATAAAAACTCGTGAAAAAATGCAAAAAACTCTATACGTCATTGATCTGTAAAATATTTGATTGTGTACTAACAAAATTACCACATTGAGTACATACACATAGTTTAAGGGGGGAAATAGACATTGATACTTTAGAGGGGAAGTTGAGAGTTCACCAGTACTTTGAGGATGAGTTGATTATTTTTTCCTATTTTCTTTCATATTTATCTTCCCTTCCGTGCAGACATCATCATTCTTTCTATATACCTTCTCATTTCCTCTCAAAACCTGTTTGGATATACAACAGTTCATTCTTATGTTTTCTTCTCAGTCTGTTTATTTGGAACACATTATTCTAGTTCATAAGTTTTTCATAGGATATAGTGCAGACATTAAAAACTCTCTCCAGCATTGGTCTTTGTAGAAAGATGTGTCAGACTTGCTTTTTATTTTTTGTCCAAATTTCATATTCTGCTTTTTTTTACTGTGAGCTATTTTTTCTAATTTCATATTCTGCTTTTTGTTTTTTTTCGATTTCTAATATACGATTGGTCTATTAACTTTCTTTTAAAATAATGGTATTTTGCAATGTTATCTTTTAGTCAGTAGTTAGACTAATTTGTGTTTTTCTTTTCTTAGGTTGGCGAGAATGATCAGAAATTAGCAGAAGGTATTACTTTGTATTCTATTGCTGCAGATGGTTATGGGAAGCCATCCATTCTTGGGCCTTTAATCAAGGTTGAATTTAGTAATGCTCTTTTTGTGTGTCTTTTCTGCAAATATCGCTTGGAGTTAATATCTTCTTTTTTCTCCTTCCTATATAAACCAGGAACATGCTAAAGGAGGAAAATGCATTATTTTCACTCAAACAAAGCGTGACGCAGATAGGCTGGCTTATGGTATGTCCCGCAGTTTTGGATGTGAGCCTCTGCATGGGGACATTTCACAGAGTCAGAGGGAAAGAACACTTGCAGGCTTTCGTGATGGACGCTTCAATATTTTGATTGCTACTGATGTTGCTGCTCGTGGGTTGGATATACCAAATGTCGATCTGGTGAGGGTTTGAAAGTTTTGTTTTATATGCTCATTTTAGTGACGATCATGTGGGCACTGATGTCAATCATGTGGATACTGATCTCTTTCCCAGATAATACATTATGAATTGCCAAACACATCCGAGATTTTCGTTCATAGATCTGGTCGAACAGGGCGAGCTGGGAAGAAAGGCAGTGCAATTCTTATCTATACTAATGAGCAGAGACGAGCTGTTAGGGGTATTGAGTATGATGTGGGATGCAAGTTTGCAGAGGTAATATTATCTTAATCTTCGATCTATAAAGAACACTTGCTATTTTAAATGTTGTTTTTATTTGCATTGCATATACACACAAGATTTGTTTTTCTACAGTTAAATCTGCTGCATTGCCTGTATTTTCTAGCATATTTCATGTTCATATCTGAGAAGATTTGCAAATATGGTCTCATCTTTTTTCAAATTTTAAGTTGGAATAATACTCTAGCAGTAGCTCAATTGTGGCAGCTCAACTGATTCCGACAATTTTTAGTATTATAAAACTCTTCATTTATAAATATTGGTAGCATGTTAATGAATAGCGTGTCTCGGCATGTTACTTTGTTGCTCAAGTTTCTCCTACTTCGTTGCTTAAGTTTCTCCTCCCTTCGTTTGTTTATTTTTAGGCTTAATTGAATTATATGTGTTACCATTTTAAACTACTAATCTTTTGTGCCTATAGTTCTTCGAAGATCCAAGGAAATCAGAAGATATTTGCAATTTTCATTTCATTTTTTTTTTCTTCATATATTTAGCAGCATGTTTGAAGTCTATAATTCTTGTGTAAGTAGTAATGAGTTTACCTACACAATAACTTCCAGGCTATTTTATATGTTGTTAGTTAAATCCCAACTCTAGAGTTCCAACTTCATTTATGCGTGTTGCCACTTCCGCACGAGTAGCACACAAGCCTGAGGAAAGTTGGAACGCATTACACAAAGGTTATGCTCAAGCTTGAACTTGAGCTTGGGTCAACTAAAGTCTAAGAAACCTTAAACTAGTTGTGTTTGAACTTTGGAAGGTTTTTTTTGCAATCTTTATCTTACCTTGTTTATTCATGTAGCTATATTCATACATACGCATTCAGGGGTATAAATGAAGTGGATACTGTGACTCTGATTCATGCCGGATTTGTTTTAACCCAACAGATACATGGAAACAGTTACTTTATCTGACTCTAACAGAATAGCAAAATTCAGATGATACCTTAACGCGCCCAAATATCTTGATGTAATAATAAAGGAATTTGAAAGCTAGCAAGAATTTCTAGTGTGAACTCATCAAAAGGGAGACTTTTCGATTTATAACATATTGAGCCCTCTGAATTAGAAACACATTTATATTAATTATATTACTACTATATATATTAATATATATGGTAGTCATGTATGTCGATAATATGCATCAACCAAAGGTGGAGTGGATATTAAGAAGTGGATCCCTAATATCATATTCTCTCCATTTATTTTCGGAGCAAACACGTATACATCTGGATTATCTTTGGATAACTTTATAAGCATCTCAATTGAACTCTACATTTATTTATTTATTTTATATGCTATCTTCCATGCTTGTTTTACTTATTATTTTCCTTTACGTGCATTTTCAGCTTCCAAGGATCACTGTAGAAGGTGGAAGTGAAGATTTTGCTAGCATGGGCGGGGGAAGATACAATTCATTTGGTGGTGGTGGTCGGATGGGCAGTGGTGACCGCATGGGTAGTTTTAGCCGTGGCGGCGAGGTGGCCCTTCATCTGGCCGAATGGGCGGCTATAATGAATCTGGGTCAGATCGTTTTGGTTCATTTGGTGGTGGATCTGGTTTCGGGCGTAGTGGTGGGTTTGGTAACTCAAATTCTAGGAGTTCTGGAGGCTCTGGAAGTTTTGGGGATTTAGGGTTCGGGAGATCAAGAAAGTCGGAGAAATCTGATTCAGGTCGATCTGATGGTTTCGGTTTTGGGAATTCTAAGGGAGGAGATTCTGACTGGGATAAATTTTGATTTTCTCTGACAAGCCAGATCATTTATGAGTTCTTGAGTTCTGCTTCTGTTTCTTGCATCTACATCTACATTGACGGTTTAACTATAACGTATTCCTCTGTAAATATTCTAAGTAATGTTCATTTTTGTGATCGATGCTGTGATAATTTGATGCACCAGCAAGCAAAATGTAGCTCATCATAAATGGTGTATTGTTGGTCATAGTTATAGTAATGATAATCTGTCAATCTGCTTCACTGGGGGCTAATTATTCTTGAAGGCGGCGGATAGGTTGTGCAATATTTTATGGCAATATTATGTTATTGTAAAGTGAAGGTGTTAAACTAATTATAAAGAATAATTCAAGTTTGCAGGGTTTGCTGTAATCTTGTGGGTTTTTTTTGGAGGGTGTATACCTCTAATTTGTACTTGAAAGAGCCTGCAGCTTTTGAGTAACTCCGGTTCTTGCATTTTTTTTTAAACCAATTGTATATGAGATATATGATTGTGAGGTGATGGTTCATCTAGTAAAATGAGATATTAAGAGATAAAGTGGTGAAACATGTACCTTTCGACGTGATAATTAGGGTGGGTCTAATGACATGGGCATGTCTTGTTAGAATTAGTTGTCACCTCATACTTAATTTTTATTATCATCGGCCCTGGGCATAGGCGGGAGAGGCCTTCACCTAGGGCCCCCAAAAAACAAGGGTCCCCATTAATATATATATATATATGAAAAAGTAAGAGGATTTTTGTGCAAAATTGTTAGAGGGTTCTAATAGCATAAATACACAACAAAACCACCCCTATCTTCAACCCTTCCTCTGTATCCAGGGCCGCTCTCACATATAAAAAAAAGAAAACTGAAAACCATCTCTCTCTGACCTCTCTCTTCTTCCAATCTTCTGATCTTCCTCACGTGTCCCATCCTTGTCAGCTTGTTCTCCTCCCTCTCGGCTCTCGCCCGCCGGCCGCCGGCCCGCCGCCATTGACCAAGCCAAGGTTAGGGTTTCACTTCTTGTCTTCTTCACTTCTATGCTCCTTTTGACAAGATCGTGAATTGATGTAGAAATTTTGATTTTTCTGTAAGTTCTCAGTTCTCACTAGGGTTTAGGAATTAGGGCTTTGTGGAATTAGGGTTTAGGAATTAGGGCTTTGTGAAATTGAAATTGAAATTGATTAAGGCCTAAATTGAAATTGAAATTGGAATTAGTTCTCACTAGATTTTATTGTTTAATTTCAAATTTCAATTTAAATGTTTGATATATTTTAGTCCCTAACATGCTTTTTGGTAGGAATTCTTGATTAATTTATTTTTCTCGATATTTATTAGATTGTAGCAGTTTCAGAATTAAATTTGGATATCATGCCTCCTCGAAAATATATGTCTGGACATGATAAGCGGATAAAGAAACAAAAAATTGAAGAATTCAATCGATCTCAAGCGGGAGCACTTGAAAAATTTATTACTTGTAGTAGAAATACATATTCTAATTTAGTTCAAGATTCGGTGAATGTTGAAAATTACTGGTAGTAGATCTAATTTAGTTTAAGATTCAGTGAATGTTGAAAATGAGCAACCTGAAAATCAAGAAAGCGAGGATTTGGTTAATGAAAATTTGAATGAGAATAGAAATTCCATTGAAGAAGGTGAAGAACATGAAGATTCTAATGAGAATAGAAATTTGAATGAGAATAGCAATGTAAATGAACATGAAGAAAATGTAAATGAACATGAAGATTTGGTACAAGAAGAAAACCTTGAAAGAAGGCCTTCAAACATAAATGACCCAGAAAATTGGAAAAATATTGATCAAAGATTGAGAGACTTACTAGTTGAAAGAGGTCCCAAAAGAAATGATAATCTTGATTTTCCAAAAGATTCAGAAGGCAGACATTTCTCCTCAACACATTACATTCGTAACTTATCCAATGGTGAACATCATGATAGAAAATGACTAATCTATTCAAATTCTTTGGACAAGATTTTTTATTTTTGTTGTAAGTTGTTCAAATATGATGCAAACAAAATTCAATTGGCAAATGATGGAGTTAGAGACTGGAGAAATCTCAGTTCCAGACTTAAAAGTCATGAAACAAGTAGTGAACACATTGTTAACATGAAGAGTTGGATTGAATTCGAGATCAGATTACGACAAAATGCGACAATCGATAAAAGTGTTGAAGAACAAATCAACAAAGAACGAGAACATTGGAGAAAAGTACTATTGAGAGTAGTTGATGTTGTGAAAACACTTGCTAAAAATAGTTTGGCATTTCGTGGAGATAATGAGAAGCTTTATGAAGAAAATAATGGAAAATTTTAAGTATAATAGAAATGATTGCCGAATTTGATCCAATAATAAAAGAGCATGTTCGTCGAGTTTAGGAGAAAGAAATTCATTATCATTATCTTAGTCACAAAATTCAAAATGAATTTATATCTTCGAATAGTAGGATGAGATCGAAAAAGTTTAATCCATTACCAAAAGATTAAAAAGAAGCAAGTACTTTTCTGTTATCTCTTGATTGTACTGCGGATGCAAAGCCATGAAGAGGCAAATGTCATTATATAAGGATGCGTGGAATATTTCAACAAGCGGCCAATGAAAAGATGAGGAGTTCTTTTTAAGGATTTTAAAAACGGTGGATGACTACATCAGGACGAGGACTTTTGAAGACACTTGTAAATATTTTGCCAAGAGCTTTAACTTGATGATTGGATTCTGTTTCTGCGTCAACAAGTGGTTTGTCAGTGGAATTCATTATGTGCTTCAGTCGATACAGATAAATTCGAAAAGACATAGCCTTTTTATAAGCCCTTCCTTTTACACAACAAAATGAAATACAACTCTTGGAAACAAACACATTATCGTTATTGAGCGATCACTGCTTGCGTGGGAATCTTTCTGTGGCTGGTGTGCGTTAGCCGTGGACCACAATCACAGATTCTGAATCGAAATCGTGAGGGGTTTATGACTTTGGACGTCGTTTATCGAAGTGAGAACTTGAAACGATTATCTGAGATGTAAGATAGTCGTTCTTCTTAAATCAATGTCAAAGACGCTGAATATCAAGGAAGTTGCCAGACAGCTCAAGGAACTCTGCCTCTCTGCTCTGGGAATCACCCTATGACTCTCCTGATCAGTCTCGATCTCTGCTGGAAGCCCGCCTCTTCAAAATGTGGCTCAGGGGGTATTTCTAGCCCATGGGAAACACTTGGCAGAAAACAGCCAGGGCTGAGACAGCGCATTTGCTGTCTCGGGCTGCGAGACAGGTATTCTGCTCGACGGGCGAGACAGTGTGCTGTCTCGGGCCGCGAGACAGTAATATGCTGTCTCGGAAACAGTAAACCGTCAGGCATTTTTGTTTAAACTGCGCGTTCTCCGACGTTTCAATCCGTTATTTGGCAGTTGATCAACGTGATTCCCCCCACGGACCGTTCCACCCACGTTCCTTGAAGGCAGGTTTGTAGCCACTTGTGTCGGTGGTTGTACAAACCAGTGTTCTTGAAGCGCACTGATCACGCGTCTGCGTGCGAGACAGTAATACTGGTCTCGGGGGGACAGTAAAATACTGTCTCGCGGGGGCGAGAGCAGTGAAACTTCTCGCGGCGGCGAGACAGTGAAAAACTGTCTCGCGTGGGCGAGACAAGAAAAGTCTGTCTCGCCAGGCGAGACAATCTAATACTGTGTTCTTTTTTTTGAGCATTTTGGTATGACTTCCTGTTTGAACTGTGTTTGGATACCTTTGAGCATTTTTTGACGCCTACAGATACCCCTCCAAAGTATTCAGACTCATCTTTTTATAGAGGGGTTCTGGGATACTTTGGATAAGTAAGGTCTACTTTACGATCCTTTCAGCTTGGGTTGTAGTAATCGGGTAGAGGAACCCGTAAACTGGCTTCAACTTTTGATCTCTTTGTCTCTCAATCATCAGTGCTTGTGTAGAATAGCTAATGATTTATCCGACATCGCGTTAAATGCGGCATTAATCTTTGTTGGAGATCTTGAATGAAGCTGAATTTGTGTTTGTGAAATCAGTCTCCATATAGAAAGCACAATAGCTTTAACTCGTATACTCAATTTGGGGTGCCGGTTACTTCTTAAGAATAGTTTAAGTATATTTCCTCCCAAACTTCCTGTTGAGGGAGGGAGACAGTTAGACCTCTTGTGCTATTTGGAGCTCATTCAGGTTATTCTTAAAGAATATTCTGAGTGATATTCTCCCACAGAAGACTTCCTGGTTGAGATTAGGGAAACAGTTAGACTCGTGTACCTATTGGGTATTCAGGTTATTCTTAAGAATATTCTGAGTGATATTCTCCATGAAACTTCCTGTTGAGAATCGGGAAAGCATTGTTAGGACTCGTGTACCTATTGGAGTATTCAAGTTAATCTCTTAAATGAATATTCTGAGTCTGATGGATTCTCGCTCAGAAAACTTCCTGTTGAGCGATTAGGGAAACAGTTTAGATACTCCGTGTACCTAATTGGAGTATTCAGGTTATTCTTAGAAATATTCTGAGTGATTTCTCCAGAAAACTTACTGTGAGATTAGGGAACACAGTTTCACGTCGTGTACTATTGAGTATTCAGTATTCTTAAGTATATTCTGAGTGATATTCTCCAGAAACTTCCTGTGAGGATTAGGGAAACAGTTAACTCGTTACCGTATTGGGTAATTCAAGTTATATTCTTAAGAATATTCTGAGTGATTATTCTCACGCAAGAAACCTTCGCTGTTCGAGATTAGGGAAACAGTTTCCGTGTACCTATTGGGAGTATTCAGTATATTGCTTAAGAGATATTCTGAGTGTATTCTAAACAGAAACTTCTAAGTTGGAGATTAATGAAACAGTTGACTCGTGTACCTATTGGAAGTAATATTGGTCTCTTTTTTGTTGTATAGAAGATGACCGATTGATGGAGAGGAAAATTTTATATTGCTAGTCTCCTTGTCTCATTTTTGTGTTGGTAGAGATGAACTGTCAGAAGAGAGGAAAAGAATTTTATATTTCTAAACTCTCCCTCCGGTTCACTCTTGTTTGTTGGGTCAGAGATTAAACCCGAAGTCGGAGAGGAGAATTTTATATCTATCTTCCTGGTCTCTTGTTTGTTGTAGAGATAAAATCCGAAATCGGAGAGGAAGAATTTAATATTCTATCGTCCTGGTACAAAAGGAATTTTGAATGGGTATTCTATTCAGAGATCTGAATAAGGTTTGATGATATTGAAATTGCAAGCAATCCCTAATTTATAGGTTGATTGCGGCAGAATCGAAGGTGACCTCTTTTTCATGGGAACGAATCGAGAGGCGGAATTTTACTTGTCTAACTGTTTAAAGTTGACCAAATGGGAATTTTGAGAC